GTACCTGTCGATCCACCTTGGCCAAGACTTCAACACCACCAAGAGATTTTCTCATATATTTTCTGACAACTTTTGGGGACAGCGCAAAGCAATTACTGAATGTGTATTGCCTTGGAAACTGCTCGAAGCTTGAAGAAAATGATTTAAGAGACACACAACCATGAGCGTTGAAAAGTTCCAGACTTCTGGGAAGCTCTGGTAATGATGTCAGGTTTTTGCAATGGCTTAATCTGAGGCTGTGTAGTTTACGAAGCTCCTTAATGCTTTCAGGAATTTGGCTGAAAGAATTTCCACCAAGATCTAACTCCTTCACTGAAGGAAGCCAGCATAACTCGTCAGGTATATCCACTAGGCACGCGTTACAAAGGGACAATGATACTAGGAAATAAATTCTTGACGCCAATGAGTGTGAAATTGATGAAGGCAGGAAGGTAATTCTGACCCATGACCAGTTTGATTGGATCAACTCGTTGATTGATGGAGTTTCAAATGCCTCTAAAAATTCTTCTACAGCGCCTCTGCACAATCATGAATAGTCAATATTTTAGTTTAACTGCAAATTGTAATAGTACAAAAGGGTTTCAGAGCCATCTAACCTTGATTCTACAATAGCAGAGTGATGTTTTAATAAAGGCGCAGATTCTTCCATGGTTATATTTTTTTTAAGACCTTGTAAAAATAATGAATCAGGAGTTGGATGGCTCTTCAGATTTGAACAGCCGGACAGCTTCAGTGTGACCATAGCTTTCAAGTTACTTATCCCCGGTGGCAGGTGCTGAAGTCTTTCGCAATTCTCCAGATCTAATGTAACAAGTCTAGTGAGATCCTCGAGTGACGATGGCAATTCACTAATAGCAGTCCCAGCTAGATGTAGCTCTTCCAGGTTTGGTGAGAAATCCTGAAGGTCCTCGAGCTCTGAGCAGCCTGATAGATTAAGAACTTCAAGAGACTCCAGATGAACCGTGGTAGGCATAATTCGCAAATGAGAACAATCTTTCAGACTCAAGAAAGTAAGCTTGTGATGATGAAGAATAGATGAGTTCACTTTAACCAGACTCGTACATCCTTCTAGATCAATATGCTCGAGGTTCCTGGCCTTTGAAAGCCTTGGGAATTCAGAAAAATGTTGGGAATGACTTAGATTAATCCTCTTTAGCTTCTTGAGATTCTGTTCACAACATGAACAACCAAAATGAGTCATCAAGTAAATGCTAATTACTTCATGTATGCAGCAGATTACACAATAATGTCAACACATACCTTTAAACCTTTCCATAGTTTTGTCATGTTGCTATAGGGCATGTTCAGTTCTACGAGATTTTTAGGATTAAAGTTCCAAGGTAAGGATCCCAAAGGGTATCTCTCCCAATGGAGTAACCTCAGCTCGTCAGGTAAAAAGTGGAGCCCTTGCGGTAGACAAACCTTGCAATGGCTTCCAGAAATTAGAAAGTATAGCTTAAGCAATCTAAGTCTATACATCCTCTCAAATACAGTAGGACTCAACTCAAGTGTCAAGCCAGACGCATCCAGAAATATGCCTTCAATCGCTTCTGTTCCCTGAGAAAAAGGGGAAAAGAATTGGGAAACATCAGTTTTTCCTACTGAAATAAAGGAACTAAGAAGTATTATAAAGTTATTAATAGAACTAAAGATTGTACATTTACAAAGGCTTACTGTTTTGCTTGTCAGTACATCAGCAATTTCATAAGAATCCCACAATCTGCTACGCTTGCCTGCCTCTTCGTCTTCTTGACAAACAACAAAACGACCCGTGTCTTGGAAAATGTTAGGCATTTCTATCCTGTCATCTACAAGGCTGATGAGAGACTCATCAATGAGACCATAGATTCCTAAATCTGTAAAGAAACCGCAACCATCAAGGAGGTTCACCACATGATCTTTGTTCTCCCCTCTGAAAAAACATGCGAGGTCCAAAAATATGTTCTTCTCGTCGTCATCTTGTCTATCAAAACTTCTTCTAAATGCATCCTGAATTTTTGTTGGAGGATGTTGACGCAATCTTCTCAGATGTTGTTTCTGATAATTAATACATTGCTCTTGTATAGACGAACCTAAGACTCGCAGAGCCAATGGATTACCATTAGCGTAGCTCACTAGCTCCGAGATCAAAGACATCCTTCCCTTCCAATTTTGTTCAGTGCCAAACTGACAGCAAAGGCGAAGCGATTCAGGCTCGGAAAGCTTCTCGATCTCGTAAATCTCATTGACGTTACACTGTACAAGAACTTGCCTGTTCCTAGATGTTAAGATGATTGTATGTCCACCAGAAAACCAGCCAAACCCTCCAACCAAAACTTCTGCATCTCTAGCATTACTCACACCATCGAGAACAATGAGAATCCTTTTATCAAGGAACCTATCCCTTACGAAACTTAGTTTTGTATCACATGCGTCGATGAAAACATTTTCTTCCCCAAGGATCTTCGAGAAGAATTCATCACGCAAATGATTCAGCCCTTTCGTTTGACACATTATATGAAAGTCTGGCAGAAAGTAGCACACGTCATGTCTCTCAGCTTGTGTTCTGAAAAGTTCTCTCGCAATGGTAGTCTTCCCTATGCCAGCCATACCCCAGAGTCCAACAATATGTGGGGCTGAAGATTGAGAACTATTCAGCAGAGACAATGTACGTTTTAATTGTAGCCTCATTCCTTCAAGATTTCTGTTAGTTTCAGAATTGAGCAGCAAAGAGACAAAACATCAGAATCAGAGACAGCCATAAAATGGCCTATGGATAGAAAATAGGAAATATCAAAATAATTTACCCCTTCATAAGTAACTAAATCCAGAAGAGGGATGAATTCTCAGGTCATCATGTTAGAGATTCGCATAAATTCTGCTGTGAGAACACTACAAAGGAAAAATTAACAAACATGAGACACTAGACCAAATACACACATAAAAGAAAATAATAGAGAAAGCAGAACAGGTAGAGTAATATTGTCAACTGCTAGATCTTCACGAAATAGGAGTACCAAAGAAAATCAATATACTAAACATTTAATCGACACAAATGCCTACAGGTTATTATACAATGTTCTACATCTTTGAATGTAACTAAATTTGAATGAAATCTCCTAGTAATGAAGACCAAGGTATACATTTCAGGAGCAAACCAGGATTCCTCATAAAAAAGGGGAATTTAGCCAGCAAAGGCATTAGCGCATGAAAGACACAAGTTGAAGGGGAAGACTAAGAGTTCAGGAGTTACAATTGATTACTCATCGGATGTTACAAGCCTGGATACAATAATCATCAGACAGTAAGAAAAGCATTTTTATAGCGATTAACATCTCAGCAAATGGCCCAAGCACCAGAAACATGAAAGGATTGATTTCACACCAAGATACAGTGACGTTTGCTCTAAAACATAGTTACTAAAACATGTTTTCCTAAAGCATAGTTACTAGACCACATTTTCACCTCTTCCCTAAAAAATTGATTTTTTTTGTTGCTTTGGTGAGGTACTTGGCACAATTAGATGAAAGTCGACTAAGAATCATTGTGTTCCCATTCCATCCACTAACTGCAGAAATTTTAAAAGAAAAACCTCAAAAAAGTTAACCCTTGTCCTAAAATAGCATTACAGGAAAACTTAATACAGCCTATTTTAGCTTCTAAAGAAAGAGGACCCTAAACATCTAAAAGTATCCAAACATCAATCACAGATGAACTTACCAACAAGTTTGGGAGATCGTCAGTTTAGTCCAAATCTCCAGCACAATCTGTGGACGCAACAAGAGTCGAGAGGAAATACACAAAAGTAGCTAACTTGACATTCCTCTAAGCTCAATCAGAAAAATTACCAATTTGAGACCAGAGAGAGCTTGATCAATGTGAGCACAAAAATGGAAATTGACACACGGATTTGGCTTCAGACTGAAACATGTACAATTGCCAACCCGAACATATCGACAAACAGAGAAGACTAACTGTTCATTAGTCAGTCAACATACTAATTCGTTTACACACAGTGTGATACAAAAAGCAAACCTTATCGTCTCTGTAACTGTCTTCATTCCTGGCTGGTAGTGTTTGTCTTCTTTGTAATCAGTCAAACTTTGTATGCTGTTACCATACACAGACCGCTACAAAATACATTATTTATCTATGAATGCGAACCCCAAGAGCATAGTATGCATTAAAGAATTACACTAACTTTTAAATATGCCTTACAGAATTACACTAACTTTTAGATACGCCCCCACCCAATTTGTCTCTATGACCCACTGGGAAGAGTTGCTGTACATAGTTTTGTTTCCACCTACCGACACAAAAACCATAATGTTTCTGCACTTATCCTCATTTCCTAACCTCGAATTCGGTTTTCCGTGGCTGCAAATCGGATCCTTCCCGCCGGCAATACGACGTGCTTCTCAGTTTCCGAGGTGAAGATACGCGATTACGCGTCATTCCTTCACCGTGGTGCTTAAGAGGAACTCGTGAAGATCATGGAGTGCAAGAAGACCTTCGAAACAGGTGGCTTTTTTTACCGGTCTTCTCTCCGTTTGAGAGAGCCGAAGAGAGTTTTCATGGACTTGAAGCTCATGAGCTGCATCTGATTTGGAGATTCAGTTGGATTCCGGTTTAGGATTTGGTTAAGTCTCGGTTTACTATTGGGTTTGAGTTTTAATTGAATTCCGGTTAAGTATATACTGTTTTGAAGCTTCAGTAAATCAATAAATCACTATCTTCATGCCAGCCAGTTCTTGGTAATATGCAAGTGCAAGTTCAGAAACGAAGATGGTGATTGCTTCACTTTCACTTGCAATATTGGAGGATGGTACGAGTCATCTGGATCATCTAGCCACGAAGAAGAATCGACAAGACTCGGCTCTGATCATGTGCTCATCAGTTATAACCACAATAGATGTTGCAAATTAGCTACGTGGAGCCAACAAAGCCTAATCTTTGGAAATGACTTAATTGTAGAAAGCCGCCTATGACAAGAGTTTGTCTGTAGTACAATACAAAATTAACTTCACGTCTATTATACAAATGATGCTTGAGACTTGAGAGAGAGAAATGAAAATGACTTACACTGATTCTCTATTACCAATCACCAAATTACCACATCTCTTCTTGCGACAAAGCTTACTCTTTTTTCTTCTCTGTAGCAATGGCGTCTTTACTAAAAGTTGCTTGTTTTAACTCAGATACAGATCGTTTTCTGGGTTTCTTAGTTGATGTTTCCACAAGCTTATCTGATGGTTGACTCATCAATGGAGATTTAGATGAAAAAAGTTCTAGTATCTCCTTCTCAAACAACCACAGATCGGAAGGACAACGAGAACCCAAGAGGCAGATTCCATTGCCATCATACGAGCACGTATGATTTTCCTATCAAAAGAGTTTAAAGAAATCGAGTAAGCGAAGAAATAACACGCATAGTCAGAAGCTGAGATAAGAACAGACATCAGGTTTAAGTTCCTTGGACCATTATCAAGATAACACGGATGCGTATTCGTCATTAACTTGAACAAGACCAGTGGTGGATAATTTTATGATGAGGTTTAAATGAAAGAAAATTGGCGCCTGGTACTGCAAGTTTATGAAATGGCTTACCAGCAGTGGTGAAACAGGGGCTTCTCTGTCAATCGGATGATGAAATTTACAAACATTACCATACTTGCACTCTCCTGTCCTCATGTAATATGAGCATTCGGGTTTGCCGGGTCTTTGCGGGAAAACATTCCCTGGAGGCAATCCCCAGAAAGCCCTGTAAGAGGCATCATTTCCCCAGCGAGAAACTGATCCAAGCTGAACCTGCAAAATGAAGCTAGCTGGTTTAGAGGAGAAGAGACACAGAGTCTTGCCATTAAGAAATCTCATTCATAGTTGGTTGATGTTCTATGCGTAAAATATCAAAATCTGTCAACTCGAGACAACTTCATCCTTTCCCAGTAGGAAACCAAAAGGCAAAAGAAGAAGAAAATATCTGATACAAATTACAAATACTAACATGTTACCAAATAAATATTTGAACAAATCGACACCAAAATAATTTGATTGAGTTCAACATGACATCAGAAGCCTACGAATATGTACTTGACAGTGAACGTGTCAGATGTTTACCTCAGCAAGGTTTGTGGTTCTAGAGAGACTCTTTTCTCGCTTCCTTTTTCTTATGCTCAGAATAACAGATTCAATAACTCTCTTCAATCGACATCTCTTATATGGTGGTGCCATATGCTCCACGCTAGAACCCTCCCCTGGATCAATTGAAGAAGGACGTTTTACGCTATGAGTCCCATCACATGTCGCAGCGGTAATTAAATAGACTCCACATCTTTTCACCGTGCAGCTATCATCTAGAAGTCTGTTCTGCCAATCGACAGGATGGAATTCAAATGTAACCAAATCAGCCAGGAAATCATGTTCAATTACTTCGGCAGGATGCATTTTCGCATAGCCAAAAACAAACATATGATCCTTTTGAACAGTGGAAGCTTCCTTTGGACCCCAACAATGGAAAATTCTCTCTAGTGTAGGCGAGAGGTCTGTTCTGCTCTTCCTGCATATGCACTTGATGCCAAAACCAGCAGCGTTGCAATAATTATCCCAAAATTCAACCACAACTGACAAAGCAAAGCCTGAGATGGTCTTTCGCATGCTAGGAGTTAGCTCTATCATTACAGATGAACCAGCTTGATAACTAACTGAGGATTTGCGACCTGCAGAGGCAGGCATACAGATGCTGAATGAAGGCGCGTTGCTGTGTTCCTGATCCAGTGAGGCCAAAAATATATCAGATATGCAAAAAAATTAAAATGCGTCTGAAAATTGAATTTCTGAGAGAAAAGAGAGACAGAGATAGAGTGGGTACCAGCTGATTCTCCTTGGTCATGCCTTCAAAACTATATTGAACTTTTCTTATAAATTCTCTGACCACTTCTGGGGAAAGTTTAAAGCAATTACTGAATATGTAGTGCCTTGGAAACTTCTCAAAGCTCGATGGAAATGACTCAAGAGACACACAACCATGCGCATTCAAGACTTCTAGACTTCTGGGAAGCTCTGGCAATGATCTGAGGTTTTTGCAACGGCGTAACCTAAGGCTGTGTAGTTTACGAAGCTCCTTCATGGCTTTAGGAATGTGGCTGAAAGAGTTCCACCAAGATCTAGTGTCATCACCGAAGCAAGGCAGCATAATTCTTCAGGTATATCCACCAGGTACGCGTTACAAAGGAACAACGATACTAGGGCATATAGTCTTGACGCTAATGAGTGTAAAATTGATGAGGGAAACGGAATAATAGTGACCCGTGGACAGAGTTCTTGTGGTATTCCGTCGCTTGATAGATACTCAAATGCAGGTAAAAATTCTTCTACAATATCTCTGCTGAAAGAAGAACCGTGAATATCTGATCTTAGTTGCAAATTGTCAGAATTCATAAGGATTTTAGAGCCATCTAACCTTGATTCTTGAATAGCAGAGTGAAGCTTAAACGGCAAAAATTCTTCCATGGTCATCTTGTATCAAGACGTTGCGAATTACGTAGAAACAATGCATCAAGAACTGGAAGGCTCTTTAGATTGGAACAGCCAGATAGCTTAAGGGTCATCATGGCTTTCAAGTTACTAATACTTGGTGGCAGGTGCTGAAGTCTCTTACAATTCTCCAGATCTAATGTAACAAGTCTAGTGAGATCCCCGATCGACGATGGCATTTCTCTAATAGCGGTCCCAGCGAGATATAGCTCTTTCAGGTTTGATGAGAAGTCATGAAGGTTCTCAAGCTCTGAGCAGCCAGATAGATTAAGAACTTCAAGAGATTCTAGATGAACCGTGGTAGGCATAATTCGTAAATGAGAACAGTCTTTCAGACTTAAGAAGGTAAGCTTGTGATGGTGAAGAATAGATGAGTTTACTTTAACCAGACTCGTACATCCTTCAAGATCAATATGCTCAAGGTTCATGGCCTTTGAAAGTCTTGGGAATTTAATCAACTGTAGGGAGTGACTCAGAATGATCCTCTTTAACTTCTCAAGATTCTGTTTACAACATGGATAACCAGAATGAGTCATCAAGTACATGTTAATTACTTCATGTATGCAGCAGATTACACAATAATGTCAACACATACCTTTGTTCCTTTCCATAGTTTTGTCATGTTGCTATAGGGCATGTTCATTTCTACGAGATTTTTAGGATTAAAGTTCCGAGGTAAGGATCCGAGAGGATATTTTTCCCAGTGGAGTAGCCGTAGCTCATCAGGCAAATAGTAAAGGCCTTGAGGAAGAGAAATCTTGCAATGGATTTCAGAAGTTGGACAGTGGAGCTTGAGCAATCTAAGTCTGTGCATCCTCTCAAATACAGTAGGATTCAACTCAAATGTCAAGCCAGACGCATCCAGAAATATGCCTTCAATTGCTTCTGTTCCCTGAAGAAAAAGGACAAAGAAATTGGGAAAAAATCAGCTTTCCTAAGTGAAGAAAGGAATCTAAGCAGTAATCTAAAATTTCAATAGACTAGTAATTATAAATTTTCTAAGACTTACTGAATTGTTAATCAGCACATCAGCAATGTCATTAGAATCCCACAATCTGCTACGCTTGCTTGCCTTATTGTTTTCTTGGCAAACAACAAATCTACCCGTATCTTGAAAAATGTTGGGCATTTCCAAGCTGTTGTCTACAAGGCTAATGAGAGTCTCATCAATGAGAGCATAGATTCCTAAATCTGTAGAAAAACCACAACCATCAAGGATGTTAACCACATGATCTTTATTCTCCCCTCTGAAAAAACAAGCGAGGTCCAAAAATATGCTCTTCTCGTTGTCATGTAGTCCATCAAAACTTTTTCTAAATGCATCCTGAATCTCAATTGGAGGATGTTGACGCAATCTTCTCAGAATTTCTTTCTCATCGTTTATATATATCTTTTGCACAGAGGAGCCTAAGACTCGCAGAGCCAATGGAATGCCACTAGCGTAGTTCACTAGCTCCGACATCATTGCCAGGCTTCCTTTCTGATTTTTTCCAGTTTGAGACTGACCAAAAAGGCATATAGATTCATACTGGGATAGTTTCGGGATCTCGTAAATCTCTTTGACTTTACACTGTACAAGAACTTGCCTATTCCTAGATGTTAAGACGATTGTATGTCCACCAGAAAACCAGCCAAACCCTCCAACCAAAACTTCTGCATCTCTAGCATTACTCACACCATCAAGAAGAATTAGAACCCTTTAATCAAGGAACCTATCCCTTATGAAACTTAGTTTTGTATCACATGCATCAATGAAAACTTTTTCTTCCCCAAAGATTTTCCAGAAGAATTCATCACGCAAATGACTCAGCCGTTTTCTTTGACACATTAGATGAAAGTCCGGCACAAAGTAGCACACGTCATATCGCTCAGCTTGTGTTCTGAAAATTTATCTTGTGATGGTAGTCTTCCCTATGCCAGCCATACCCCAGAGTCCAACAATATGTGGGGCTGGAGATTGAGGACAATTCAGCCGAGACAATATACATTCTAATCGAAGCCTCATAAGATTCCTGTTATCACCTGAGGTTTGAAAATTTCTCTCGGGTTCTAAGCTGATCGATGGAGTTGAGCTATACCCTAACTGCTCTCTCTCTGCTTCCATGACCTTGAGCTTGGTTTGAAGCTCGATTATGTAAGAAACCGTGTCTCCCAAAATTGACGCTCTGTCCATCCTGGAAATGTTGGGAACAACGGATCTCAGAGCGTAAAACATCTGGTTAAGCTTCTGACGCCGTTGTCTCTCTGTTTCTACGTGGCTCAAAGCTTCGTTCCCGGCTCTTCTTCCGTGTTTTCTTGGTCTGTCGTTACCAGATTCATCATCGCTGCTTGTCAACTCGCGGGTTTCCTTACCGCCGTCGTGTGTTCTTGTGATTTCAGATTTGCATTCACCATGAAGGCTTTGGAAATTGAGCTTCTTCTCGATTAATTCATTTTCACTCCCCTAGCCTTTTCTTTCACACGCTCCTTCAAGAATGTTGTTACAGCTGAGCTACGAAAAGGATTTGCTTTATGGTCGCCGTTGAAGTCTGCGGCGCCGAGGCTGATGGCGACAGTTTCAATTTTGTCCGAGGGAAGACGACGCAGAAACTCAACCGCGTCATCCCCGGTGCACTGAGAGAGCGAACGCGGAGGTTCCTTGTTCCTGAGGAAATCAGAGAAAGCTATCCCATCTGAGGCTACAAATTTCCCGGCAACGATGCCAATCTTTCTCTCTGAACCTGAACCAGTTGATTCTTCCATTGATTTCGAAATTCTCGATCGATCTGATTTCTTCCTGATTTGAAATATGCAAACTGGAAATTGATTCCAGATCTGGTTTCAATCTCAAATGTGAACATGTTGAATGCGAACCCCGGCACTATGACCCACAAAGAAGACTCACTGTTCATAGGTCAAGCACCTCTTCTATTACTTTCCTCCACTTAACCTTAGTGTTTCTACTACACTTATCCTCACTTTCCTAACCTCGAATTTTTTATTCTCTCCATGGCTGCTACATCTTCCTGCAAATCGGATCCTTCCCGCCGGCAATACGACGTCTTTCTCAGTTTCCGAGGCGAAGACATCCGCTATTCCTTCATCTGCTTCCTCCACGCTGCTCTTCGCCGGAAAGGGATCGATGCTTTCATCGACGAGGAACTTCTGCGAGGCAACGATCTCTCGGGAATTCTCGAGAGGATCGAGCAGTCGAAGATCTCGATCGTTGTTTTCTCTGAAAATTACGCGAATTCCCCATGGTGCTTAGAGGAACTCGTGAAAATCATGGAGTGTAAAAAGTCCTCCGATCAGGTGGTTCTACCGGTCTTCTACAAAGTTCCGACATGTGACGTGAGCAATCAGACGGGACGATTCGGAGCTCCGTTCGAGAGAGCCGAAGAGATTTTCCAAGGATTTGAACACAAGATTCCGGCATGGAAGGAAGCCCTGAGTGCTGCTTCTGATATCGCCGGCTATGTACTGCCGGAGAAAAGGTACCTAGAAGATTAATTGTTTGGTTTGGAGTTTAATCGAATTCCGGTTTAAGATTTAGTTAGGAGTTTTAATTAAATTCCGGTTTAACATTTGGTTAAGTCTCGGTTTATTGTTTTAAACATATTTGGTTGAGTTCCGCTCTAAGATTTGGTTAAGTCTCGGTTTACTGTTTTAGAGGGTGGTGAGCGAGTTTCAAATTATTTCCGGTTTAGAAATTGGTTAAAATCCTCGGTTTAGCTTACTGATAAGTAGAAGAAGAGTATAACAATGATGTTAAATATTATAGAATAGAATATATTGTATTGAGTTAGTCCTTGATATGAGATCACAGGATACATATATATATATAGTGGTAACATTAACCTAATGCTAATTAAATTTTCCTAAACACAATGTAAATATGCTTATACAAGAAGTAAGGTAGAGATCTAGAATATTCTTCGGTTTGGGCTTCACGGGCTTCACTTCATAGAGAGGCTTTGATGCTTCACAACAATTGGTCCGCAAGCTACACGTCTTGCTCCCCAAGCTATCTCCAATAAATGACTCTTTCCTTAGCAAGTTTGGATTATATTCCATTGCATAATCTCATGAAGAAATGGATCAAACCAAAGATGTTATTGTAATTTCATGCAACTTTCTCATCATTAATTTGGAACCTTAAAAGAGTTCTTCATACCAGTTTATGCTCTTTGTGTTGTGTCACAAGTTATTTACATGGAGATCAATCATTTATCCTCGTTTTTTACATCTTTTCCCTTTGTTTTTAAACTTATCTTTTCTAAAATGATGATGCATTTTGGCAGCCCGGAGAGTGACTTTGTTGACAAAATTGCCAAGGAGACGTTCAAGTTGCTAAACAAGTTGTCTCCATCTGA